AGAGAGGACCCGGATTCGGTTTGCCTGATAGGACTTGTAAGAGCCTGTGGCAACTCTAGCAAGTAGAGCAGAGTGTGTGCCGCAGGACACCGAAGACAGGCGTGTATCAACGCCAAAAAAATAAAAAGAAAGGGGGATCTGTGGGGAGCAATCCGGACTAGACTAAGTTACTCGAATTAAGACTTATTCTATGCATCTGCTCTCCCACAATATGGCGCTGGGAGAGAAGTAAACAGCTTCCGCGCAGCTGCCTCCAGTTCAACTAATAAACTGTAGGACTTGCTCCTGATTGGAGAGCAGCGTACTCGGCGTGTGGGCAGCCGAGTTGGGATTGGCGGAGGAGGACTATAAAGGAGGAGAGAAACGGCATGCACCGGGAACATCTATGGGGAACATCTAAGGGAACCCGTGCAGCCCCCGAGAGACCCGGCCGGCGGTGTGCCGCTCCCCTGCGGAAGTGGGGAATGCGGCCAGGGGGAACTGCCTTTCCACGGAGGTGGAAGGGATAGTAGCCAACCCGGGAAGAACCAGCAGCAAACCCGGGGAGGGCTGAGCAGACGAAAGAACAGCGCAGGGTCCTGTGTTGCTCCTCCACGAAGAGGGGGAGCGACAAGAATTTTCTTAAAAGTTTCAATATTAGCTTTACAGAGAAGAATTTGTATCACTTGATAATCTCTAATTCATGCTTAAACAAACTAGATATAGTGTGAGATCAGGGTGGCATAGGAACCAGGTGGTGTAGACAAAATAATATGCAAGAAAATACGACATAATTATTCTTTATCCAACCTATCGTGTGCCTTGAAAAAGTTTCTAGGCCACAAAATTCTGTCAGTTTTGCCATCCATTTAAACAGAGTGTAACATATAGCTTTCATATTTCAAAAACTTTTTTTTCTTTTCCTTTTTTGGCAAGTGTCTATGAATTGAGAATAGAGTACCATAGAGGAAATCCTCTGAGGTTTACTTTCATAACTGCTCTCAAAAAGCATAGCCAGAGGGAATTTGGCAATGCTCTGAACAAGATTTTATGACGGCTAGGTTTTTGCTTATTATTGTTTATGATTTTTAAGCTTTTAAAAACAGGTAAAAAATTAACTACCTTTCAGCCTAGTGTCACTAAAAGATTAAAATCTTTTGTTAAAAGTAAGTTTGAAAACAAACCTTAAAACAAAGAAGCATTGCCTTAGAATCCCAAAGTCTTCTGAAATATTTTCAACAAATTGCTTCACATGGGACTCCCATTCATAGCAACAAGATTATCCTTTGTTTTCACACTAAAATGACCTAAGGTATATTTTCTAGAATCAGAAATCTGGACTTTGCTTTAATTTACTTGGGCTTAGTCTGTTCACTGTGACAATATATTGTATGTATTTTTTCAATCTATTTAAAGGCTTTGAAAAAATTTTATTTATATACATAGTAACGCAAACACACACTCAAATTGCTCATATTAAAAAGTTTTAGATTTAGGGAGTTCTATCTTTCTCACATAAAAGTTGTCCATACCTCATACAAAAATATTTATATATGGGGTATAATATACTAAAAATTTATTATTTTAAGATGAGCAGTTTCAGATTAAAGGTTTATGCTCAAGTAGATGTCCATGTAACCAGGAATAATTATTTTGCCATTGTTTTTATTAATTCTCATTAGTCAATGCAAATATATATTCAAGCATCGTTTTTTACATTTTCAAAGAAATGCATTAACACCATTTCCTTTAAAATTGAGTCATTGTATATTTTAAAGTTTTATTTATTTGTAAGGGGGAGTGAGAAAGAGGGAAATACAGAGACAGAGAAACAAAGAGACACACCTAGTGACTCTCAGGGTGCACATTAGCAAGAAGATGGAATCAGAAGTAGAGCTGGGACTTGAACTGATGCACTCTAACGTGGGATGCTAGCATTCTAAGTGACATCTTAACCAGTGTGCCAAACACCTAAATCTTGTGTATTTTTCAAAGAAACACATACAAATATGATATAAACTTAAAACTTGTTAAATATAGATGTTTATTGGGCACTCTCTATACTTTGTTTAAATATTTTTAATTTAAAAAATTAAAATTCATTATCATTCCAGAAATAAAATCTCAAACTTTCTGCAGTTGTTAGCTAATTTAAGCCCTTTGACACCTCAAGAAGATAAAATAGTAATAAATCTTAACATAATTAAAAATAACAGAAATGTCAATTTTTAATATATTTGCTGTATTTAACTTAATAGTAATCTCCATAGAGAAGGTAATGCATATATCAAAAACTATTTCAATTTCAAATTATTTTACATGCAGTGACATTTTATGTATTTAGTTATATTTGTATTTACTGCCCGTCAACTTGACAACGTGTTTTGTTGTTTTTGTTTTTGGTCACATCTGTTTCTGTTCTCATACCAGTTTTACATTAAAACAGTGAGTAAGGGCTTTGCAATTGGTGGATCTAAAGCCTGTTGGCTAAATTTTCCTAAAGTTTAAATTAAAGATTTCTGTGATTGATTTTTTATTCAGAATACCTATTTAAATGGTATTTGCAGCATTAAATTGCTTTGAACACCTTTTCAGAGCCACTCTTCTCATCCAACATGCCTGGCCTTGAAGACAAATTGACTTAGTCATTTAGCTTCCCTAATCACACCACTTATAAATTTAATCATGAAGAACTTGTACTTGAAGTTCTGGGAATTAATGATTGCCCTGAAACTGTCAGCCTGTGTGACTCTCATTTTTTTTCATGTGAGATGAGAACATCACATTAAATGTTTGTTGAATAAAGAATGAAAATTAGAATAAAGTGACCAGTTCTTCAGAAATTAGGTTATGTTGTTTCTCTAGCTTTAACTTGAGTTGTAGTTGTTTACTTTTCTTGTTCAAAACTAATGAACTAAAGTAGAACATGGTAAAGGGATGGGGTACTCAATTGGGAGAATAGGATCATAATACCAGTTCTGCTTGTGAAATAGTTATATACACATTTGTATCTGTAGTTGGCTTTGGGCAAATTCTATAACGTTCCAGGCCTCAATACTTTCTTCATCTTTAAATGGTGAGTGCACAAGTAGATAATTTTGAATGTCTCATTAGGTTTTTGTTTTGTTTTGTTTTGTTTTGTTTTGTTTTAACTGGAATCTTGGACCAGTTATGTGCATAACATAAAAGACTTTTTCTATCCAATCAATGGACCAAGCTAAACATTTTGTCTTTGACAACTTTTTCTCTTGGTATGTATTATCAGTTATTCAGCACTGCACCTATATAAAATACATCACAAATAAAAATTGTGGTATATTGCTTGAGTAATATTTCTTGTGATTTTCCCCTCTTCAGCATTTTTACTTTCATTAACCTAAGTTAAGCCACTAGCATCTTTTTCATGAGCTTGAATTTCCCTTTTAACCTATAATCCTTTTCATTTTTCTAAACCCTTGCTTGTCTCCAACATTTTCAAGGAACCTTTCCTCAAGAAAAATCCCTGATTTCATAAACGTTAATGGGTTCCCTTGGCTTAATGGTTAAGGTCTAACTTCTATTCCAACCTGACTGTGGAATTCTGCATCTTGCCTAATTTGGATTTCTCATTTTTCCAGTTTAATCTTGTGCTAATTTCTATCTCCCATCATATCTTTGGATACAGACCCCTGCCTCCTCTAGAGAAGTCACACAAGTCAAAATCAACAAAATCAATTGTCCACTTTCACCACTCTGTGCTTTTTGGCAATGCTCCTTTTGCTACACAGTACATTCTTTCTCCCTTTCTATCAAGTGAAACCTTATTTATTAAGTTTCTGCTCAAATAGGACTCCTTTTTTTCTTGAAAGATTCTTTGAATACCCTGGAAGAAAAATTTTCTCTTCCCTCACCGGAAGTAATTTCATATTAGTTTTATATGATTCTATTTTATAGTATATATTTTATAGTATTTTATTCTATTTTATAATATTTTATAGTATTTGTCCCTAATACTTTCTCTAGTAGGTTACGTGTTCAATTTTTTCTTTCTTTATTGGTTCATGCATTAGATATTTGTTGAAGACCCGCTGTTCATCAGGCACTTTGTTAGAAATGTGGGGAACAGAATTGCAGTAACTGATGTGAGCTTTTAACCAGCTATTGTCCATGTGGAAAGTCAGCTTTAAAGTAAATTTTAATTTACAAAACAGGATATGGGACCTGGTAGGGAATAGTTTCTGCAAAGAACACTTTAAAAGAAAGGAGAAAAATCTGCACAGAAGGGATTGCATCTAGGGACTTCCCTTGTTTGAGATACACCACTCACTTATCAAGTATTCACAGCTTTGCACATAAAGCTTGATAGATTTTATTAAACACACTGTATTTGGAGTACATGCAGGCTTTCTCTAGGGTGTTGGGTAAAGGCCATAAGTAGTGGAGGTATTTCAGAGGTAGAAATAATCTAGTAAGAATGACGGTTCTCAAGCAACCCAACAACCATATTTCACAGGGAACATGTCAGTGTTGCACACTGTGAAGGCACATATATTATCTTCACACAACTCAAGTAATAAAGCAATTTCAGCCATACTGATCTGCCTCAGAGCTACTGGAGTCCAAGAGACAAGAATGGAATGCATCAGAAACAGCATTCTGCACTCACTTTGCAGGCGACAGTTCTAGACCAGTTCAGCCTGGCCGCCCAAAGCAGCTCAAGGCGCTCCTCCAAGCTCCCCACCCCCGCCCTCAGGAACTATAGATAGCGTGATTTATTGATTGTATATTTGACTCATTTTCCTAAAAAGCGCAGACTCAGTATGAAAGGTGGTGAGAACGCTGGAGGGCCGTAGTTTTTGTTCACGTTTCGGTCCCACTGCAAACCCTCCTGCGGGAAGCCTCACCCAATGCACAGACGCCCCAGTGCACAGCCACTCCGTTGCCAGGTAACCACCTCACCCTTAGCCAAGTCTCCGGAGGTCGCCAGCCGCTTCCGCCTCCCCTCCCAGCCGCTCCAATCAGCGCCCAGTGTGTACGTCACGTGAACCTCAGGGGCGGGGCTGGAGGGCACAGCCCGCCTCCCAGCCTCGCGGATCCCGCGAGCCGGGCCGCCCCGCCCCCGGCAGCCCGCGACCTGGCGGCGGGGAGGGCGGGGCGGGACCGCGCGCATCCGTGCTCACTCTCCCCGGTGCCGGTTTCAGCACCTTCGGCTGTCCGCAGCAGCAGCCGCCGCCTCCTCAGGTAAGGAGCCGGTGGGGCTTCAGGGTGTGAGACCTGGGCAAGCGCAGCTTTGTGAGCCGCTGCAGCGTCGTCTAAGGAGAGTCTGGACGTCCCTTAGATCAGACTTGGGGTATGTGCGTCCTACAGGGCCTTCCACGCGGTGATGCCTGATGGGTTAATCCCCTGGGTTGGAGTGGCATACACCTGATGATTGCAAGGCACAGCAAGCAGTCAACGTGTATGTACCTGAACTACCTCTGGAATGTATGCTGACCGTTTGGCGAGACGTTTTATTTTCATTCCCTAAAATGATTAGATGTATCCAGATTGATATATAATATAGTTCAGATTGCTGATTCTCAACACTGCGCTGGGCAGATAGTTCTGTATAGTTTCCTTATCCCTTTGAACGTGGTTTTAATATTAGCATTGTAACAAGCTTTGGGTAGAGAAGGAAATGCATTTCAGAAAAACTATTGAATGTAAGAGAGGTGTAAGTAAGCCATAAAGCAAGAAAAGTGCAGACTTTTACAATCAAGAATGAAAAGGAAAAAGACATTCGAGATGACTTTTTTACTGTATTAATGAAAAGCAATTGATTGTAATGAGACTTAGTGAAAAGTTTGATTATGCATCAAAAGTCTCTCTCGCTCTCTCTCTCTCACACACACACACATAAACACACACACACACACATACATTTCTGAGTGAGAAATATTTTGACTCCAGAGAAAACTGAACAACAAAACAAGCATAAGTTCATTTTTAAAAATTTTGCAAAATTTATTCAACTAAAAACTCAACAACATGAGTTTAAAATCACCAATTTTATCATTCAAATAACATTTCTAGGTAGCAGCAACCAGAAAATAAATGAAAAATAATTTATGAGGATTTGTAAACCCAACAAGGATTTAAAATTCTGTATCTGTAGATTTGTGAATTCTCTCATCACTGCCCTGCTTGAGCAGAGCTGATGCAAGGCTGGCAGTAGAGATTCTGCCTCAGTTGCTTAACTCTGCAAGAAAATGCATAATTTATATATATATATACATATACATATATATATATATATAGTATTACCTGTTGGAAAGCAAAAGTCTGACAAGGTGTCTGACAATATTTCCTGTTCTGTGATGTGAAATTAAATAATCAGTGACTATGAAAGTTTCAATTCAATAAAATTTTTGGAAACAATGCTTTAGGGCTTTGTTTACAAATTAATGTTATAAATAGTACGTTTAGGTCATTACATTAAGAATTCCTGGAAAGTTTTCTGATTGGAATAAACCAATGATCTATTTCAAAGGACATGCATGGAAAGGAGATTCACATACTTCTTAAGTGAGCCCCACAAATTTCTACTGCATAGAAACACCAGCTAACTTTTACTTACATTGATCTTACTTTCTCCTGTGATGGTATAAGAGGAGTGCTTAAATAGCTGTGAGCATCCATGAAGAAAACATTAAACATCCTTACTTAAAACTTTTAAAAGTCTTCTTTTTTATTTTAATACCTAAGTTGGTATACTAAAATTTCTCAAGTTATCCATTATATATAATAATTCCATGATTCAACAGTCACAAATTAATTTAGCTTAGAAAAACAATCTTTTAAAGTTCCTCTATTCCCAGGAGAGGGACTAGTAGGACTAGAGTGTTTTTGTTGTTGATACAGATTCTCCCTCGCAGCCCTTAGCTGGGCCAGAGAGGCTCCTGGTGATTTTTAAATTACTCAAAGAAAAGTAGGAACAATTTTATGTTTGTTTTGCCCAGATAGATACTTGAAGTCTAATCAGAATGATTAGGTTGTCACTACTGATAAAATGTGCTGCAGACTACCTAGTTTTATTCACCTAAACAGTGCCATGAGACTAAAATGCAGTTTCTCAAATGACCCTTATATAGGCCAGCGCCACGGCTCACTGGGCTAATCCTCCGCCTGTCGCACCCCAGGTTCTAGTCCTGGTTGGGGCACCGGATTCGGTCCCGGTTGCTCCTCTTCCAGTCCAGCTCTCTGCTGTGGCCCAGGAGTGCAGTGGAGGATGGCCCAAGTGCTTGGGCCCTGCACCCTCATGGGAGACTGGGAGGAAGCACCCGGCTCCTGGCTTCAGATAAGCACAGTGCGCCGGCTGTGGTGGCCACTTGGGGGGGTGAACCAGCAGAAAGAAAGACCTTTCTCTCTGTCTCTCTCTCTCTCACTGTCTAACTCTGCCTGTCAAAAAAAAAAAAAAAAAAATTGACCCTTATAAGGTAGAGTGTGAGTGGTATTAATTCAAGGCGCATTATGATATTGGACGTGGTTGCTTCTTGTGCTGGTAATGTCCATGAAGCATTCCATTTTTGAAGCTTTACTTGGGAGTACCATGAACTACTAAATGAATAGCACTCCTGAAAATGTAACAGCAAGTATATTTGATGAACATTTCCATTTCCATTGTAGCTTTTTGTACATAATGTTTCACTTTCATAATTCATTACATTAGTTCATTAGTTTAGAGGAAACTTTATGTTGACTGACCCCATAAGCTTTTAAGAAGGGGGCTATCTGGGCCGGTTCTGTGGTGCAGTGGGTTAATGCTCTGGCCTGAGGCACCGGCATCCCACGTGGGCACGGGTTCGAGACCCGGTTGCTTCACTTCCCATCCAGCTCTCTGCTATGGTCTGGGACAGCAGTCGAGGATGGCCCAGGTCCTTGGGCCCCTGCACCTACGTGGGAGACCCGGAAGAAGCTCCTGCCTCCTGGCTTCGGATCGATGCAGTTCTGGCCGTTGCGGTCATCTGGGGAATGAACCAGCGGATGGAAGACCTTCCTCTCTCTCCCTCTGCCTCTCCTCTCTCTGTGTAACTCTGACTTTCAAATAAATAAATAAATCCTTTTTTTTTTTTTTTTAAAGAAGGGGGCTATCAATGGGATTAGCAACTTATTTTATCTATGCATAAGTCCTGTCTTTGCTGATACAACATTTTACTTAGAAAATTTTAGGATTAATTTCAGGTCTCTGTCAATATATTGGATGCATATATCTAGGAAATTTTTTAGTTTAGTGACATTCCATTTGCTGTTTCCTTGAATTCTCCTGTTTGATTTCCTTTGCTGGCTTTTCTCAGTTGGATTGCCAAAAATAATTTCATATTAATTTCTTAGGTTATTTATGTATGTGAAAGAGTGTTAGAGGGAAAGAGGGAGAGAGAGAAAAAGGGAGGGAGGGAGGAAGGAAGGGAGGGAGAGAGGGAAGAAAGATGCTTCTGTCTGCTGGTTCATTCCTCAGATGGCCACAGTAGCCAATTCTGGGCCAGGAACTCTGCCCTGGTCTCTCACGAAGCTGGCAGAGGCTCAAGTGTCTGGGCCATCTTCCTCTATTTTCCAGGTACACTTAGACCAGGTCACTTAGACCGAGGACAAGGACAAGGAAAGGGGCTTAGGAGGGGGTTCTGTGGTCACCCTCACAGAACCCAACAGCACACAAAACACCGAGGGGCCTACTTGCCAAAATCCAGGGGGGACCTTCCAAGTCCGACACGCTGTCTCTTTCTCAGTCACGTTGGCACGCCAGATGTTGAGGTTGATTTCTCCTTTAAAAACTCATATACAAAATCCTACTCAAATGAGATTAAGTAGAAGAGGGAGGGAGTATTGGGGTTTACAGATTAATTTATGACACAGCTCCTCTACTCTTCCTTCATGAGGAATGGTTCTATTTATAAGAATAAAGGTAAACATTTTGGTCATGCCTATTATAGAAATAATCCTAAATCTTTTATGAAAATATTTTGATAACACTCTCAATGGATTATTTACTCGGAATTTCTTAGCTTATGGATGACAGTATGTGATTTTGTTTGACTGACTCAAAATGGAGGTATGAATGAGTTTATTGAAGTAACAGTGAATTGCTTGTTCAACCAGATGAAAAAAATCATTTCCACATTTTAGCACCAAAGACTCCATAATCTTCCAAGCAGCTAGATAAATCTAAATAAAAAAAATACAAATTTGTATAATTTTCATTTTAGTGGTTAAGATGTAGGAAAGTAATCAGATAAATATATGTAGATGTGTGATGAACACAACTACATTCACCTTTCCACATCTTTGAATCAGTTTCTTGCTTTTCTTGGCCTTCTCTGGAACCTCTGTGTTTTACTGACCAAATTGGAGTTTATACTGGTTGGTATAGGTGGTCATTTGTTGAGACCAAATGAAAACTGCCATATTGACCTTAATTTTCCTACTTAGTGCCTAATCCAGGATCTTAATGGAGGCTAATACTGTACTTGGTGTGACCTATTTTATCATCTAAGCTTTTAAGAACTTCATGATTTAACTCAATACGCAAGTATTAGGAATATTCAGATAAAAATGCCCTGACAAGCATGTAAAAGGTAAACTCAGGAATGGTAGAAATTTAAGAGATTAATCCTAGTTAGAAGATAACAGAGGCAGTTTTTTTCTGCTAATTTGTTTCTAACTTATCTCTACTATTATTGAACTAGATGAGTAGTTCTAAAGCTTTATTGTGTATGTAAATCATCTGTAAGTAATATTTTAGAGTTTTACCCCCAAGATTCCGAGTTGTTAGATTTGGGGTCTGATCTCTAAATTGGAATTTTTAGCAAGTTTCAAGGTTAATTCTTATGGAAAATCCTTGAGAACCACACTTTGAGATGCACTGATTTAGAGATCTTTAAAATATTATTTATGCGTGATTATCTATGACTCTACAAATCATAGTGAGAATAATGGTTATTTAGAATAATGGTTATTTAGAATTATGGATACTAGACCCAGGAAAACATAAATTTAGTGAGATAATGGCTGATTTTTCTAAAAAAAAGTTTTCATTTACTTAGTTATTTACTTATTTGAAAGGCAAAATGACTGGGAGGAGAATGGGGAGAAGAGAGAGACTGAGAGCGAGAGAGACAGAGAGACAGAGAGAGAGAGATTGATTTTGCATCTGGTGGTTTGCTTCCTAAATAGCCACAGTAGCCAGGTCTGGGCCATGCCAAAGCCAG